GACGTTCACTCAGTTCCTGCGGGGCATTAGCCTGGGTTTCTTCCAGGCTGCCACTCTCGATCATGGCCAGGGTCTCTGCTGCACGGCTCAAAAGGTCTGGGTCCAGCCCAGCTTTGGCGGCACATTCCAAGCCAAAGCTCTTCTCCGCACAGCCATTTGCCAATTGGTAAAGGTATGCAATTGACGCGCCTGACGCGGTGTTAGGAATGGTCTGAGGCAGTTCTGTATGTGCCTTCCCGCCAGGCTCTTGATCGGGAGGCAAGATTCGCATGTGGCTCACTTGCAGGTTCGGCTCATCTTGTGAGACAAGGCCCATACGAAAGATTTCCGTGAAATGCGTTGTGATCACGGCCTTTGGGCCGTTCTCACATCCACAGAAGTGTTCTAACGTGGCACCGAGCAGTGCGACACCGTCGGCTGCGCGGGTGCCCTTGCCAAACTCATCGATGAGCACCAGAGAAGATGCAGTTGCATGCTTCACTGCAAGTGAGAGTTGGCACAAGTCATGTGTAAAGGTGGAGCAGCGTGCTGTTGCGCTCTCACAGCTCTGTATGCGGGAGAAGATGAAATCACATAGGCCTAACTCAGCTTCGTCTGCTGGGACGAACGAACCTGTATGGGCCATGAAAGCTATCAGCCCGACTTGCTTCAGGTATACAGACTTCCCGGACAAATTGGCGCCGGTCACAACCAGCACCCGGTGGCCCGGAGAATCTTCTGAGTCCAGGCCAATCTCAGTGCTGTTCGGAACGAAGCCATGGTGAGAGGTTGCCAAAGCTTCCACCAAAGGGTGCCGTCCTCGGACGATGTGGAGGAGACCTGGTTTTGCGCTCAGCTTGGGCCGGCTCCACTTGTACTGCAGAGCCGCGGAACTGAAAGCCAGAATCACATCAACCTGATCATTTTGCAGAGTTTCCGAGGGTGGAAGCCCCCTGCCCACTGTTTGCGGTGACTGGTGCTAACTTACTGCTCAAAGCTTCCAATCAGGTCTGTCAAAGGGTTCCACGAAAACTTCCGACAAAAACCATGGGTTGGGGCAGGAATGTGTGTTTTGGCAAGGCTCCTTGATTCTATGTTGCCATATGTGCTGGGAATGAACATGTTTTTTGGGGTCTACGCCGTCTACGTCAGCATAATTGTACCAGGGATTCAGAACCCTCCAGCCCGCTGTGAGTGTAGTTGGTGTTTGGGTGGATTTCGCATAGTATTGACACAAGCATACAGACCCACGAGGACTTTTCACAGATGTGCAGATCATTATGGATTGGTGAGCGCTTCAGCTCTGCATGGACAATCGGAAACGTTCAAAGATCCCTGGCTCGCATCTATGTACACCCTGACCTACAAGAAAACACACAAATAATCATGCAAGCATTCATGCACATACGTACATGCATCCGTACCAATGATCACAGAATCATATATGTTGCACAATTCTCAAGGCCCCACCTCCGCCAGCAGCTGCGAGGCTTTACGAAGGCGGCTCTCCAGCCTCCTGGGAAGTCCCCAAAAGCTAAGTACCCCTAGCAAGAATTTTGCGGTTTAGGTCTTATGGTTTAGGCTTGAGGGGTTGTCTTAACATGTCCTTTTCCAGCTGGCATATCCTGGCCGAAGGCTGGCTGAACGGGTTTCGGGTTTGGGCTTGAGGTTAAGGGTTCAGAGAGTTTCAGGTTTACGTTTTGGGGTTCGGGGTTACGGCACAGAGTTTGCAATTTGGAGTTCAGGGATCACCTTTCACGGTTTGAGGTCGAGGGTTCAGGGACGCAGCATGCCCTGTTGCGAAGATCCCCAAGTCCCCTCAACTACCCTTCGTTTGAGAAACCCTCACCTCAGCCGGTCCAGCAATTGCCGCAAGATCTCCAGCTCTGCATCACGGGCTTGGACTACCAGGTCGCCTTGGGCTCTGTGCTTGTGGGGCTACAGCTATTGATGCCTTTTGATATCTTTGAGTGCCTTTTTCAAGCTGGCAGCTAAGCGTGGCAGTGTCCAGGTGCGCTTCATATCCAGGCTTATGGTGCAAACTACTGTAGCCCAGCATCAAACTTAGGTAGTTCTACCCTCCCTGAGCTGTGTGATGAGACATGTAACATGCAGCTGCAGAACACCTTCCAGAGAAGTATACATATGCAGCTGAAGGACCAATTTCCGTGTCCAGACGCCGAGCCATGTCACACTTGTAGAACAGCCTGCTGCCGCCTCTCAGGCGTTCATGTTCGGAGCTTTCAAAAAATGAGTCTGCACATCTCTATTGCACCCCAACTCCGGACTCGCACCTGCAAACTGATAGCTCCAGTCCTTTGCCGGCAAAGGGATGCAGCCCTTCCTGTTCAAGAATTCCATCGCGTCAGCTTCCACGTCTCCGCCAGACGCGATCGGATTCGGCAGAGAGGCATGGAAGCCGAGCCTATGTCTAGCCAACAGAGCTTGCTGTTGGACCAAACTAAATGCAGCCGAGGAGCTGCGGGAAGTAGTGGAAGAGCACGGAATCCTTGGAGCAAGGTAACGCAAGCAGCACATCATAGAAATGCTTCAACTGGTACTAGTCGCCGAGCTTCAATAGCACGCTCTTGTGAGCCTTCTCTCTGAGTGAACAGCCGCTTCTTCTCAAGATCAGCGATATCGCTCAAATGGTGCTCGATGTTCATATACCTCACTTGATGCACGAAGAGACATGCTTCTCGTGCTTCTGCTGCAAATGAAATCCAGCTCCACAGACAAGGAGCTGCTGCCTCAGACCATCTAAACGCTGATTCACACCACGCTGGACATGGACGAGATTCGCAGCGAAGTGGCCTGCACGAGTCCATAAAACATTCGCCCTGCAGATTGGACAGACCAATCCCCTGCCTTCAGTAAAGTTGCCATCCCAGTCCACTACCCGCTGTAGAAGGCTTTCAGCGGCCTGCACGTCCTCAAGTAGGCTGTCGCCTGGAAATGTAACCCTCAACAGCCAGGACATCAGTCACATTTGATGAGGACTGGCCTTCCAAGGAAAAGAAGCCACCAGTTGCACGAGGTCCCTGCTTCGATGCCTGGGAGGGGAAGAACTACTGAGTTCTGGACACGAACACAGACCCAGCTCGCCACCTCGCCTGATTCATTAATTCCAGGCTCGTCGACATGTGGCCTGAGGCTTGCCAGTAGCTGCATCTTGGAAGTCTCACGTGATAGCTTTAGCAACTTGAACCTAGATGCTCAGCGTGGCAGCCAGTGACCGCCAATCACGGACATTGTCAAAGTGATAGCAATTGTACCTTTACTGCGACTGCTGCAGCTTCAAGCAATTCCGGGCGGGAGACAATGATTACGGCAGTGCCTCTGTGCACGTGCATACGAGGTACAGACGCGTGATAAGAGCCGGCACATCCTGCACCTCAGCTAGACGCGAATCAGGAAAGAAACGCGAGGCCGCAGCGTAAAGCGCCTCTTTCAGCTCTCGATGCAATTGCCGCACCTGTCTGATGTGAATTGCGACTGTTAACAGCTTGTGGAGGCAAGGGAGAATTTTGAAGTTTCAGAGGCCCGGACAAGCTCAGCACCACTGCCGCGCAGGAGGCTCGTTATGTGTTCCACAGCATCATAGCGGGACTTCAGAAGCTGGGCATTTCGACCTGGGATTCAGCCAATATATCTGCAATCTAGGAACAGCATGGAACAGCATCATTGCGAGCCGGGGGGCTGGATTGGTGCAACCAGCGCCGCAGCATGGCCCTACCAGATGTAGAGGAGACCAGCGGTTCGAAGAGACCAAGCAGGGACAAGCCCTCCCGCGGCTTGCCAAGACGCATCAGCGATTGGTGCTGCTCCTTCTTGCCACGTGAGATGTGTGAATGGATTCTGTCAGATGCCGGGCAAATTCTTGAGTCACGCACAGTCCTGAATGACCTGCAGCGCCATCATTGTCTGCGCATCCACGAAGACAGAGTCGCTTGGCGAAAAGAGCCTGATGTCCTGGACGCATGGCTGCCAGGGGCCTTCCAGTTGGCCGAGTAGCGCGCGGTTCTGCTCTAAGAACCTGAGTAAGCCTCCAGCTGCGCGAACCAGCTGCTCGTTCCCCATGTCAAGAGTCGCCAAAGGCGCCGTCTGTCCAGGACCCAACATGGACTTTTCCTCAAGGCTCTGGAACAAGCTCACCAAACGGAGCTTTGAAGCCTCCACATCAAAGTTTCCCGCCTTCTGAGTGGCGGTTGGAAAGCTTTCGTTTCCTTCATTGACGGGACTCAGAGCACATTCGAGGAGCTTGGGAGGCGAGCGTGATGGTACCACACAAAGACCAGACCGAATAATGAGGTGTGAGCTCTCGTTTCCTTGCTCAGCAGTACCACGGCCATGACACAGGAGTCTTTCCTTCAATCTCATAATCTCGCCAAACTCAGGGTCCATTAGCTCAGCAACCCTGAGAACACGCTCTGGCTCATCCAAATCCACATACGCTAGGCCGCATCGACATCCACGGCCAGCGCAAAACGCAAAGATCACCGAAGTATCCTCCAGTTGTGCAGGTCCGCGCTCCTCTCTCACGGCCATCCTTTTGTCACCCTGCTGACAAAACTGACACCGCTTAAGCCAGGCTGTGGGACACAAACGCCTGAATGCCGTGTCCTCCAGACAGGGAGCTTCCTGCAGGGAAGCATAAGTATAAGAGCTATTGGAGGGTGATGGGGCCCCATACGCTTTATGCACTTTTCCTGCAAATCTGCAATCGTAAAAAAAAACAGGAGACTACTTGCACATGATAACACAGGCTTCATGAGCGACACAAAGGGCAGGACCGAAGCACCCTTTTCCGCACACTTGCCTACCACCTGCCCATCCGATTGCAGTTGGAATGCGTCCTTTGCGCCACGCACGTACAAGCAACTCCTTGAATCCAGCCTCCGCAAACACAAAGCACGCATCCCTCCATCTGCAATCGATGTCTGCTGTCCTGGACGGCCGTGAGACACAAAGCAAAGAATCAGTCGCTTTGCGAGAGTTTGCTCATGGTAGATCACTTTGAGCTACTTTGGCTCAGATTTTGGTGGCTCTGCTGCACTCACTTGGACATAGCTCTTCTTGTCCATCACCAAAGGGTTCACAGCCTGTTCTGAGAAGGAGCACATTGCATAGGAGGCATTCACTGCACGCCACAGCACTGAGGGCCCATCGTGGTGCTGCGTTAAAAGACCGCAGGTAGTCAGCGCAAGCTTCTCCTGAAGAATTGGTTCCCAAAAACTGAAATCTGCCAGCATCTTCATGTCCCCTCCTCTGTACCGGGCCCGAAGTTTTGCCAGTACCTGTGGGCAGTGGCAATTTCCACCTCCTCTCTGAATTGTCGAAAAGGCTGACACCATTGTTGCGACCGGGTGACTCACCGAAGACACCATGAGAGTCGGCGGGGTTCAGCTCGCCAACCAGAAAGCCGGCACCTGGGACGGGATGCCCCAAACCATCTAAGCTCTTGTAACTGCAAGCAGCAGAGACTTTCCTTTCGGCCCAGAAGCCAGCCGCGGCTAGTGCAATGGCATGCATGTCCTTAAGGATTTTCGAAGCGTTTGCAGGTCTTTTGCGAAGTTTTCGGAAAGGCGCCTGGTCCATGAGTATCACAGGAATGGCCCCCGTGTAGGGTTCCTTGTCGCGGCTGAAGACCTGCAGGTACAGAGTCTGTGAAGCTGCTTGTGCTTGCTGCTTGCACACCCAGCCTTCTCGTAAAACTCATAGTTGTCTCCCTTGCGAAAGATGGGCCTATGCCGGATTGACACCGGGCAGTGTTTGCGCAGTCTCTCACAAAAGCCTGACCACTTTATGTGCATGCCGCGGTGCAAAGACAGCACAACAAGCTGGATGTTCTTGAAGCTCTCCTTTGCATGGCGCTGTCGTGTTGCTACGGGACAGTGGCTGGAAAGACTAAGGCATGGAGACTGTGCGCACACGGGCCACCGTCCTCTTGAAGAACCCGCTGCAGTGCCAGAGCCTCAAGTATAAAGAGGACTACAAAAACACATCAGCGGAGCATGCGGAGCACTCCTAACTTGAGCCATCGAACCGGGCACGTTTGAGCTGAGCTGAGGGGCTGAGAGATGCCTGACCGTGTTCCCGATGCCGATGGCGTCCCCGGCAAAAACGCCCAGGCCAAGGCCGACTTCCACCACCACCTGGATGCCTCCGAAGCACAAAAACTCTCTCCAAAAGTGCATGCAAAGTGCATGCATGCTGCTGCGCGTGCAAAGCGCATCATGCTCCGACGCCTAGGTCGTCTTGTGCCTTCAGGCGCAGGCGGCACATCTTCTTCCTCAGCTGCAAGCCGTGAAGCCCAGCAGGGCCAACCAACAATGTCTGCCGAGCGTCAGGTCGAAGAGTGTCTTGGAAACGTTGAGTTGTGCAAATGTCCCGGAGAGTTCAAAGTCTCGTCCGTGACGGACATACGGCACACCCTCATCCTGACATGAGCGCGTTTTCTGTTGCTGCTCCCTGTGCTGATTTGTTGCTGGTGCTGCATCCAAGGATCATCAAAACAGTACACCTCCTTCCAGTTCTTGATGTAGTGGGTGAGGTCGACGTGGTCATGAACGCGCGACGCGAAGTCAATTCCACACACGGAAACTAGATGAATGCGAGAGGAGACTGGATCGCCAACTTCGCGCGGCACGACGCGGCCATCGAACCGCATGATGACAGGATTCTTGCTGCACCTGGATATTCATCCATGATTGAGAAGCTCAGTGCTTTGACAAACGAACAGGGCCTGATAGCGAACTTCATCTTCCAGGCCTCTTCACCAGCCTGAACTGAGCGAAAGGCAGCGCAAGACGAGGCGAAGCGCTCCTCACGCTCGCGGGCCTCAGAAAGCCCTTCCAGCGACCGGCTCAGAAGCTCCAAGCCCTCGTCACCGACGTACACGTCAGAGGCCTCGTAGCTCTCTGCCAGGGTCCGCCAAGGATGCCCTAAGACTAAGAGTTGTAACATGACACTGGCTGCCAAGCTGCATAGTAGGCACGAAAAGATGACTGCCACTCGAGTATCTCTGCTACAGATACTTTGAAGGAGCATGGGCGGCCTTGGTGAGAGGATGCGGTCGTCGGCATGTCAAGGCTGAAGAATTGGGTAAATGAAATGTCATTCTCTCTGAGCCGTCTGATGATTGCCTTCAACGCCAGATCCCGCAGTACAACCTTTACACGAAGTGATTTGCATGCGGATTAGTCGCCATCTTGCCCCAAGCCGTGGTAGACAAACTCCTGAGCGTTTTTCAGTAGGGCCCACCACTTAAGGATACACAAAGTCTTCTTGCCATCCTTGTCCGGGGGCATGCTCTTCAGCGGCGTCTGCAGTTCAAAGGCCTTGACACCTGTCTTCAGAGCCCCTTATGCCTCGACTCTGCGTGCAGAGCATCTGAATCTGCTAGCAACTTGCGCCTTGCACAAAGTATTTCCCGGTAAGTTGCTTGGCTCCCACCTCCCAATATCTATCAGAGACCACCTCAGCAATCTGGGAGAGACTGCGGCCTGATCCATGATGAAATCCTCCATGCCCAGAGTCTGCGGAATGCACTTGCCACCCATGGTCCTTGTAAAGCAAAGTGATGGAAGCCAACACGGCCGCATGCTGCCGTACTCTGCCGCACGCCACCAGGCCTCTTGTCCATGGCAGGCAAGGACTGCAGTTTCTGTACGAGGTCCCTCACACAGCTTGGCAGGTCAACCTCACGGTAAGATGCGCTTCGGGTGTACGTTTTTGTTGCAACATTATCTCCTGAGAGGCAGACACCGGCAAACAAGCGAGACCTGAACAGGCCAATAATTGAAGCAGCACGCGCCACCACAAGCAACGGTGAGCGAAGCTTTCTGCAGCCCGAGTCGCGTAGGGGGCTGCCCTACTTCCACTGCTTCCATAGGCGGAAGGTCAGCTGGAAGCTCATCCGGTGGATCCACCTAGGCCCACCAGCTTACAACGCACATCTGCTGCTGTTGGAAGCGTGGCCACGCCTCGGACAAGTCCCAGCCCTTCTGCTTCAACCGTCGGAGCTCCTGTTACTCCAATGCGGTAAATGTCCACCACGACGCACGAACTTTTTACTGCTACAGTAGTTGTTACAAATCGTGGCCAGTTATTGGAAACCAGAAACACAGACGTGCGCTTGTAAAGGGCTTCACATCGAGCCTCCAGAAACCAGGCTGGGTCTGTTCTAGACGGCAGCGTCAGCTCCTGCAGCAAACCATTTTGCAAGTTTTCAGCTGCGTGAACACCAAAAAAATAGTTTGGCCAAAGTGATTGAAATGCATTTTCCAGATTCTGGGTTGCTTCTAGTGCTATGCGCCCAACGAATCCAAGCGAAAAAATGAAAAGGCGCAGCCTTGGACACCCTGATGATCCATGATGCCATGGCTTGCCCGTGTCCTGGCCATCATCTATGTAGCCCACAGCCGACAGCCTCAAACGAAGAAGTCGAAAGCAAAAAGAAGGCCGAAGGCTGGATCTCTGGTCAAACGCTGAGATTGCAGCAGCCAGTCACAGCCCCTGGCCCAGCCGTGTTGCTTGTAATCTCAAATTCCATCGATTCCCAATTCCTGCCTGGTACTCAAGAGGGTTTTGCCTGATACAAGGCCACTTCAGGTCCCAGACATCACAGTCTCTCATGACCCTGCGCCTGGATGATCTAAGCAACTCATGGCTCGGCGCTTGGAGTCCGCAGGATCCTGACAACAGGCAAGCTGGCCAGCCCGAAGCAAGCTGCTTTGGGGCGCCTCCACGATGCGCTCGAGGACGGACAACACCAACTCCAGTGCCTCGTTCCTGGCACGTGTCCGCCACAACTTAATTGAAGCCAGCCTTTGAGTTAAACCTGTCTGGCTCGCCTTTCCTTCTCGGGCACTGAGCAAAGCTCTCGAAGGCCCACTAGTGCCTCTACCTGGAAGCGGAGGCCTTTGGAGATGTCCTGCAAGGGCTCTGCTGCGAGCATCAGCGCAAGGTCGCAAGATTGCGAAGCAGCCATCCAAGCCTTTACGGAGCGGCAGAAGGCTGCCTCACAAAGCTCAGCGGGGCATTCTCTCCAATGTTCCCTACTGACATCACATCTTCCAAGCCTGGTCCGAGCCGTCTGTAAAGAGCCATCGCACAAACTCACCGTACTGGATCTTGCCATCGACGTTTGTGTCTGCCTGCCAAGGCTATGCTAAATGGTCTCGCTCTGATGACAAGGTGTTTGCCTTCCCGAAGCTGACTGAGATACTTGAGTAGAACAGCTGAAAAACATGATTACCCGCATCGTCAACACTTTCCGCGTGAAAAATCTTGACCATGGGGTCACACATGAGCAGGGCTGCAGCATGGGCACCTCAATCAGCAGCTGATCGATGCGCTCATCTGTCCATGAGATCGGATCCAGTGCCTCAAGCACCCGGCCCAGCTCCTGATTCGGGATGTTCAGGTGTCCCAAGTGAACACGCTTCGGCCTTGAGGGGCGCTCCCTCTGATACCGTCAAAGACACTCAAATGTTTCTACTATAGTAGTGGCTTCTAGTGAGGACCCAACAAAACTTGCCTTCAGCAATTTAAAGAAGACCTTGGTGAATTCCGGCCCCTAGGCACGGTCCTTTCTTTCGATCACTCCATTCCCGTTCCTGCCAACAGCTTCAGGATTGTGAGTTGACAGCACTGCCTACACTGCAGCTGCTGGCCTATCTAGCTGACGGAACAAGGAGATGAGGCGATCAGTCGTGGCCATAAGGAAGCAATTGGCTTGCCTGCGTCTGTGCGTGTGCTATGTGCTGACTCTTCGGTTTGCCACGAGCTGCTGGATGCTGACTGTGACAACATGCGTGTCTGGCCGCAGAAGGTTTGGCTACTGAGGAGCTTGGTATGCTGATAGATGCCGCCGGTGGCGACATGCATCTCCAGCTTTTGAGATTTGGCTGCTGACAAGGTTGGCAAGATGATCCGCACTGCCGTCCCTGTGCTCCCAACTCTCTACACTGCACGGAACACTGTTCCTCCAGCCATGCTGAACAGTTCACTTCTGGGCAGCCCTTTTTGTCTCCTCACCAGCGTGCCTTTCTCTGCACTAGCTTACTTCGCTCTCCGTCCCTGTAGCCCAGCGGCTTAGAGGCGTCGCCAGGACAGGCATTCGACGCCTTTGCCCGCTGGAGCGGACTCGAAGGGACTGGACCACAGGCTACAACCTTAGGCAGTGAGTTGAGGAGGGATACATGGTTCTAGCATGCTCTCAAGCCGAGACACGTTTTTTTGGTGAGTCGTATTGGATGCCTTGGGACTTGGTAGCCAGCACATCAAGTAGCGGGCGTGGAACTCATTACTCATTGCTCATTGCAGCTGCTCAATATTCAGGCGGGACTCCTTGGCAATCTGCTTTCTTCTCGCAACTTAGCTTGCAAGCGTCCAGGCTGCTGGATGCCTGCTCCTGGAAAGAGATGGAGAACTGCACTGACTGCTGTGGGCAGAACGCATCGACTTCACTTGCCTGGACCTGAGGCACTTCAGCCTGGCATGGCCATAAGTTTCCAAGCCATGCCCACTTAACCTTCCCTGCACCGCCTCGCGGACCCTTGCGATGGCCAAGGCGGAGAGATGGACGTGGTGTGCCTCACGGACGAACTCGAACGAAATCTGGCCTGGCAGGGAAAAGGGAGCCACCAAACCTTTCACAAAAGCAGTGGGCAGTCGGTGTGCTTGCTGAGTCCGTGACCAGAAGACTTTGCCTTTGCCAAGCCTCCAAAGCTACATCATAATATATCGCAACCACTCGCAGCCGATGTGGGAAATGTGGGAAATGTCAAGGTTTTCGCTGAGGCGCCGATTCGCGTCGGCAGGTCACTTCTGCCAGCCGTGGTGTAAACGTAGTTTCCACCGTTCACGCGCAGCCTGTTCCTGCCGCCAAACCTCAGGGCAAGGGCGTCTCACCCGCTCTACGGCTGGCCCATGCTGGCACAGTGCAAGATCCCATCTGCCAGCAAGGAACACAGCTGCGTACTGGTACACTCGCCACGCATAGAGCTTCCCAGGTTCTAAGCCCGATACCACCGCTGTGGCAGTACCTGCCCTGTTTCGGAGGAAGCCCTTGGCATAAAGCCTGCTATGCGTCCAACCTTTCAACGTACAGGAGTAGCCATTGCTGAGCTTGTACGCATAGGAAGCAACGGGATTCAAGTTGGCGTTACCCCGGTCCTTAGAGGCCATCAATCAACCAATCTTTTGGGGGATTTTGCTGAAGCAAGTGGTAGGTTCCAACAACCAAGAAAAGTCTGCAGTAGTTCTTGTAAACTTCTATGGCTGGCAGAGTGTCATTGAAGTTGTTGTCGCTGATTGAGGACAGGTACTCATCTCCAGCCTGCGCGTACTGACTACAGGTAAAGCTAATCGAAACGTGAGACTCGATCTTTGATGGAACTTGGCAACGGTACTGCGCATCTCTGCATACAAGTAATTACATGTATGAAGGAGTACGACTCTGCGAATCCTTCTAGCTTATGCAACTTGTCTTTTTAGGACTTCAACGTCGGACCCTGCCTCGTAGACCTTGCCTAAGGCAATCCCAGAAAGGTGGACATGAGCTGACTTCCTGGAGAGAAGGTGAGAAGAGTGGGGCAGTAAGAACAGCAAGAGAGACGGAACCCGCAACGACCCAGCGGGGTGATATGGCGGCGGGAGGGGTCATACTAGTCGGTGGAATTAGGCCACTTCAGGGTTCCATTGAATAGAGCATGCATTCTTGCAATGTGAACACGCGTCTGGCAGCAGGTCCTCTGAAACGCAAAGGTGATCCGGCCATCGGCACTAGCCCGGTGGGCACCTGTCTTCGTGGCATCTGTCCGTTTCGATGCCCAGGTCAGGCCCATGGACCTCAAAAGACTCTCTCATTCGGACTGCTTGTGGTGCTTTGGCCCAGGCTCATGAACTGGGTACAATGTCAATCGCGGTTGCTAGCAACCATCATGTGATGGCATGGCAACACTGCTTCCTGAGCTCTTCACTCGCCATTCACGGAGAGCCCGTTGTGGCCCCCAAACTTCGAGGCATACTGATAGACCTTCCAAGAGTAGAGAGCTCCTGCCACAACAACACTCAATTACTCGCCTACTCTCTGCCTTGGTGCGACCAAGAGGATATGTGCACGCGGGATTTTTGGGTTGATGGCTGCAGTAGAAATTCAGTCCTGGCTCCAGGCCAGACACCACTGCCGTTGCTTTGCCAACCACATTTCGGAGCACGCCTTTGGCCTGAATCAACATGGAACTCGTCTTCAGCTTTTTCAGGGACTGCCCTATCCTGACCCATACATCTCCTAAGATTGCACACCGCACGAGTTGTGCCGCTGTGCGACATAATCTCGGCTCTGAGTCCATCCCTTCAGCTCACAGTTGTAGCCGTTGCTGAGCGGGTATACATAACCTCGTGACGAGTGACTGGCTGACACGCAGAAAGGTTCATCTGCAATCCAAGTCTGCAGCGAAGCTTGTTCGGAGCAAAGCTTGTCCAGATGCCGGCGGAAGAATAACGGGTGCGAAAGCATCCGTGTACAAGAGTGGCTAGTTGCCCATACTGCCCCTAAAATGCCATCACGTCTAGCGGATTCTAGAAACCTCCGTCTGTCCACTTTGCAGACCCGGGATCATCCAAAACTCAATGGGAATTACTCCTTCTGTCAAGCAGCCGTTGTTTCTGTCAAGATTCCGATTGGAACGACGCCTCATGTGGAAGGAGTTCTCAGCCAGCGACGACAACAGTTCCGTCCTCGCCTCAGGGCAAAGAGTTTGACCAGCCACGAGCTGCGGTGTGATGCAACTCGCAGCATCCAGGCCTCGTTGCGTTTGCGGATTGCCAGGCCGGAGAGATGCACGTGATGCGCATTTCGTTTGAAGCCGAAAACGACTTCTCCACGAGTGCTTGCTGTGGCCATGCCCAGTAGGGTCGCGTCATCCGACTTGGACTGCGAGGTCAGGCCCTCGTCGATGCCATTCACCTCAACGGCATTCTTGCCAGGAAACAACGCGGCGTACTGGTAGAGCTGCCATACCTGCAGCACGTGAGGGCATGTGAGGGACCCAATCCCTCCAAGTTAGCAACGTTGCATCCAAGCCACATATTCCTCACCAGGCTGCAGTCCCGAAACGATGGCCTCATGCCATCAGGGATTACATCACTTCCCTCCACGCTCGACATTCACCAAGCATGGCACTAAGCCGGTCCCTGGCTTGTTTCGCAAGAAGCCCTTTGCATAGGTCCTGCCAACAAGGACCACAGCTAGCAAAAAGGGTGTGACGATGAAATCAAAGGCCAAACAGCAGGACAAGGGGATCAAGCGGCCGATCAGGCGGCCTGGTGTGCGTCCATTCTCTCAGGGTACACGTGTAGCCATTGCTGAGCTTGTACGTATAGGAGGTCTTCACGTTCAGCGTCCTGACGTCAATTGATTGCCATTTGCAAGCGCGGTGCCTGCCAACACTCAATGCCTCTGCGCACGATCATTGAAATTCTGCTCGGCTAAGGACGACAGCTTCTCTGGCCCCACAGCAGTCCACGATCTTATCAGGACAGGCTCAGTCAGGGCTCTGCGAGCTGAAAAAGTGAGACTCCTCAGGCCTTGTAGCTCCATCAGCCTTGACACCACAAGATGCCGTCTTGTAACACCGATATCCCGCATCTGTCCACACGCTCCTTGGTAGGTTTTTAAAAGTATGTTCAGGCAACGCTTTCCTGGCCCGAAACAGCCCCTAAATTGAGCGAGCCTAAACTCACACGAACCCCAAAAATGAATCATATGCGGACCTTCCTAGCAAAAAAAATCGAGAACCAGCAGAGCACTGAGCAACGTGATGTTGCATGGACAATTCTATGAAGAAAACTAGTACGTCACTTCAAACTTGCACATTGAATCTGCCACCTCTCCACGGCTTTAATACATGGCGACCAAGCCTCACAAAAGATGTGTCGGGATCTCTCCTTTTGCATTTCCTCCATGCTGCAGACAGCCACGTTGCATATTCCGGAGTTGAAAAGCCTCACAGAACGCCGAGGACTCCGTTAAGTAGAGGGCACGCGAAAACAGTCAGAGCTTCAGGTGCCTTGGCGGCCCAATGGGAAGGCCAGCTCCCAGGCATTGGAGCTGTAAATTTGACCTCCAGGCTACTCCAGCTCCGTCAAGGCAAGCGAGGCAAAGCAGCCATGCAGCAACTCCCGCCTTTGGTGCAGTGGCCATGCTCCTTGAAAAGCATCTTCGGTACTGCTTGGCATTTGCTGTTGCCGTGGCTCTGCCAGGCCCCTGCCTCAACAGGGAAAGGACTTCCAGCAGAAACGAGAAGCACTAGCAGAACCACCGCAAGCCTTGCTGAATGATGCGACCTCGGTGACCTTTGTTGCTGTCGGAATACGCCGGTCAACCTCACAGCAGGGATGTCTGAGCGGTTCAGCGCGTCAGGATGCTGCACCCGCGTGGGAAGTTGGGCCCGCGCTAGCTGGCACACCCCCAGCTTCCAGTCGGCACCGGAACCAAACGACTTCGTGTGCTTGAACGCGTAGCCAGCACCTTAGCGAGCCACCAACATGATTGCGCAAGGGGCAGCAAGTGGACGAAATTCACTGAGGCAGCATCACCAGCTGCGCTGGCTGCAGCTCTTCTCGCAAAGCCGCCGGGTGCCGACGTGAAGAACTTCCTAAGTTTCTAGCTGAAGCGCACAAAGCCAAAGCGCAGGACAACCTGCACCGGAAAAATCAATGACCAGCGGCGTAGGGCCCGGCAGCGTACTGTGACTCTCCATTGCCCACATCAGTTCCCTTGGGTCCACCTCAAAAAGGAAAGCAATGGAACCTGCTGGACTTAGTAGGCAAGCAACCCTGGAGGTTCCTGGCTTGACTTTTAACGGCCCCTGCCTGGACCTCGACGCCAGCGCGTGTTGTCTCCACCATGCCCAGTGTGCCGACGCGGGTACACGAACCTTGAGGCATAGCTTTCTGCGCTGAGCGGCATCAACGACTATATTCAAACTACGTGGAGCCAAAAGCCATCTCTAGGGCATACTCCCTGCCGTCGGAGGAGCTGCGGCAGCAGTGTGACACACTCCGAGGCTTTAGAAGCAGCATTAACGCGAAGAGGCGCACTCCAAAGGGCCTTGCAAGCTTCGCACCAGAAAGCCGAGCACAAATCTCTATCTCAGTAGGATGCTCCACATAAAAATTCAGAGCATCTTTACACTCCCTTCATCATTCATTAGCCAAGGGGCACACTTGCCACCCTTGAGCTCGAAGCCAGTACATGCAGGTCTGCTTAAGCAGTCCTGCTGACACATGTCAAAGCTGACTGCAGAGAACACCACGGGGTTGCTGGCAATTCGACCGATCGCCAGGCCGGATAAGTGCACCTTAGCAACATGCAGGCTTGGCCCATTCAGAAACAAAAAATGCGGTGCATGACTGGCAGTTCACAGGGTTGCCCTTCTCCCGAGCCACGTGATGCGCTATCCTCCCGAAAGTAAAAATGATCTTCCCGTCGCCGTCGGCTTGAGTCAAACCAATCTTTGTCGGCTCTGCTGATTTGGATGCCGTCGTAAGCCCTTTGGAGTCTCCTTGACATGTGCTGCTTGTAAGTAAGGGCTAGCTACAAGTCCAAGCCTCACGAGCCCTTCCACAGAAAAGAAAAAAAACACCGGTCTCTTGAGAGGACACAAGTTAAGGAACCCATGTCCAGTTGCCAAACTCGATCCAGGGAGAAGATTTTGTCGCGAAGACGTGAGAGGACTTGACTAGCATTGGTGTCAAATCTAGTGACTAGTGCAAACCGAGCATCCATTCACGAAGAGGAGGTTTTTGCCAGCAAACTGAGCGGCATATTGATATACCTTGAACGCATATTCGGCACCTGGCTCCAGTCCGGAAATCGTGGCTTTGGCTTCTCCGTTCTTGTTCCGCAGGAAGCCATGAGCATACTTTCCTGGCTCAGATTTTAGCACGCGACCGCTCTGCCCGCTCGGAGTACCAGCGGATGGGGTTGAACAGAAGGCAAGCTTAATTTAAAGGCCAAGCAGCTTGTGTGAGTAAAGCCTGTCAGATCACACTTGTATCCATGTCCCAGCACGTAAGAGTAGACCGTCTTCTCATTCAGCGTGGAATCGCCGCGACTGTTAAAGTGATTCCTGGACTGAAAGGAATTGAGGCCAGCAAGCGATCCAAGCTCTACCCATTTGCCTCATGATTCAGCCCCGTCGCTCTTCCAAAGAGGTCAGGTGTTCGTCGGCAACCTCGTCCAAGCGCTTCATGGTCAGCCCAGACAGCTGGACGTGGAAAGACCTCAGTTGCCAAAAGTCCAACTGCTTGATGCTATCTCAGCAGACGTTCCTCTGTGCCTTACACACTGAGAGCTGCACCTGCGTGAAAAAACGAAGGAGATGCGGCCTTGCATGTCCTCAGTCAAAGAAAAAAAAGAGACCTTCTGCCAAGGCTTCACTGTTGACGTGCCAGCGAGCCGCTGCTGGCGTCATACCGAGTTTTGTGGCGGCAGATGTTGTCAGCGGCTGAGAGGTTGTGCTGCCCTCATAGACCGAGTTGACAGAAAGGATGTTTGTGCCCGCACCAAAGCCTTGCCCAGCTGTGTCCAACAGAACTGAAACTATCCACAAAAATCCAAGTCTCACTTAGGAAACACTACTCTTAGTAGCAAGGAAGGGGACCGGCGCGCTCATTTTAACACATTGTCTATACTACGGGGTTTGATTGTCTTTTTGGCAAGACGCTGGCGAACTGGTAAAGCCTCCAGACATACAGACCTCCCGGCTCCAGGTCTTTGACAGTAGCGGTCGCCGTCCCCGAGCTTGCTCTCAGGAAGCCACGGGCATAGGTTCGTGTATGAGTCCAGCCAGTCAGCAGGCAAGTGTATCCTGTACTCAGCCGATATGTATACGTCGTTCGCGCTGAGAGCTGAGAGATACCACCTGGTCAAGAACATGGCATGCGGGCAGGGGCAGCTGCTTCAGACGCTCGATACTCAAATGCTTTCAAGCTGCGGTCATTGAAGTTGTGTTCTTGCCACGAAGTAAGGCGCTCAGCGTTTGCCTCAACACTCAAGGCGTGAATGCTTGCGCAAGGATACAGAATCAAAACTTCTTGAACTACCACCCTTACCTGCACGAAAAATCTTGCTCTCCAGATGTCTAATTGTTTCAAGGCCTAGATCGGACATTTGTGAGGACTATATTCGTAGGTAACCCAGCACTCCGGGATCCCTGGAGAACAAATCAAGGCCTCGAACGCAATGAGCCACCTCTGTCTTCCGCTGCCATCATCCTCAGTCAGGGCAGGATGCCGTGATAAAGTGGAAGTTCCACTGGTTGGACACTAGCCACAACGTGTGCAGAGAAAACTTGCTCGGCAGCTCAGATTCCGCCTCTCTGAGGTCAACCGCATCACCACCTCAACTGCACCAACAATAGCAGTTACCCAAAAGAAAGTGCTTGAAACATCAATCGCTGATGCTGGCTAGAAACTCTCCGTAGTGCTCAGGAAGCGCCGTTTGCTGCTGACGCCGCTGACCACGGTTATGTGGTACCAGTCCCCGCTGATGCGCGAGATCTTCCACCTCTGGCGCCCGCTCGCGTCGTCCTTTGCGATCAAGTCCACCTGGCTCCGAGCAAACGTTGCCGGATGTCGCAAATGTTGCTGTCCTGTTGTCAGTCCTCGCTTACTTGAGCTAAACTCACCTTCACTGAGCCTGAGGACAGTACACAGAACCCGGATCTGGCCAAGTGCGTCCACTCTGGGAGTCTCTCCAGTGAGTGGGCAATGATATGCATCTAGAGGTTGATAGTAAGGGGAGTTCAGTATGCACGGAACGCGGGCGTTGCAAACCAAAGATCTCAATCGCTGGAGTTATTGTGGCCATGTTTTTGCTTCAATGCAACCGCTTAGCCTCATAATCTGAGATATCCTGTCCCAGCAAACCCTTCACCGTAAGGCCTGCATGATCTGTTGTAGGCAATGAGGGAATCAGGGTTGTGAGGTTTTGGGCGTTGGCTGGCCTTGTCCCCTGTGGCTGTGGTGCTTAGGAAGATGCGTCCAGAGTTGACACCGGCCAGTACGCGGATGGTGTACCAATCGCCACTCCCCTTGCTGATGACCCAACGCTGTCGACCACTGAAGTCATCCTTCTCAGGATATGTTTCAGATGGTTTCAGGACAAAAGGAATTATAAAAACAGTTCGTGTACCCAACCCAGCCTTGGTGAACAAGTCTACCTTTGTACCCACAGTGATTGTGCTCAGGAAGGTCTTGTCGTTCGCAGTGCCGCCAAAAACTCGCAGGTGCACGAAGGCCTCCCAAGGCTCGTAATCGGCATGTTTCTGTCTACTACAGCAAATCAACAGGCTCCAGGACTCCAGGCCTTACTCAAACCTACAGCCGACCAGGTCCTCACAGCCGTGGCTCCGTTGGGCTTGCAGTCGAAGGTTTTGAAGCACCTGCAACCCATCACAACAAGATCGCCAGATGAGGGGCAGTTCTTCTGCGCACCTGTAGCCAGCATCGGTCCACACACTGACAAAAGTAGTTCCTGGATCCTTCAGCAAGCAGTTCGCCCAGGCAGTCTTCATCCATGCCTGACCGAAGCAATTCTGCACACCTGCAAACAAGTCTCATGAAGTGAAGCTTCGTGCCTTGTACTGATCTGTGGTGAAATCCTTCCTCCCCCACTTGCTCTCAGCTAGTTCCCACGCTCTGGAGGAGTACACAAGACCTCAAGTCAGTCAAGTCAACATGGCCCCAGCCATCAGCCCCGAAGACCAACACTGAGAGTTGCACCGTTTGTGCAGTGCCCTGTTGCCTTGTACTCAAGGCTCGGGTTGATCCCGCAACTGCTCCCGGGGCCATGTCGCTGCCAGGCCCCATCCTTGGAGTAGATCTGCCAGGCCGCAACGGTGCCTCAAAGGGAACGTGAACGCTTCTCAGGTCATTTCGAAATTGGAACCTTATTGGCGCAGTGCGCCTGTCATTGGGGCGTCGCAGCTGCTGGTTGTCATGCACTTCCACATCTCCTTCGAGCTGCGAAGGATCTGGTAATAACCTGAAAGTCATTCAGGGCTGCCGATGGCATGCGACTTGAATCCCATATATAGGATGAACCAACAATCCTTGCGGCACAGAAGCAAATACGAATCTTAATACACCCTTGAAACAGGTCATTAAATGCGCAATTCAACCACAGATGCTGAGCATCCTTGTACACCCTATCGCACAGCGCAGCTTCTCATGGTGCGAAAATTGGACCTAACCCAGCTGTGGAGGCAACCCTATAAAATCCTGACTGCATCTCAGAAGCGATGGTCCCTGGCCACAGCGTGCATTTGGCATTCCTAGGCAAGCTTTCTTTTCACTTGGCTGTAACCTACCCAAATCGAAGCTAGGTCTGGGGAATGACAGGAGGAATCCACCTTTAATTCCCTGGGCAGCCTGAGTTTTGACAGAGCTCATTGGCAGGCCCTTGGGAGCCTGCCATCATGTATGGTGCAAGGCAATCCCACCCAACATCCACCCAACGACAAACAGCATGGGTACAAACAGGGTAATCGAACACCTCTCTGCGCGAACTTGCTTGTACCACTGTAAATACCTGGTCCTCAGGAACCAAACAGAAGAAAAAGCCACACAAAAATGGCCCCAAATAAGCCGATGCAGCTTGCTGCAGGGAGTCAGACTGATCAGCAACTTCGATTGTGGTCTGGGGGGTCTCCTCCAAGCACTTGGAGTGCGAGCTGCCGAACGGCTCCCAAAGGTCAGCTGCCATGTATACCTGTCACTGTTTTCATGCTCCGACAATTGCGCCAGGCAAATGCATACAGCCAGAACTGATGAGATGAGGAGTGCACCCTGCCTTCCATGTTGTTCCCAACCAGGTTGGCACAAATTCACCACTGTTCCTGACTTTGGACTTCGGCTTCGTGCCGTACTTTATGGAGGTGCCGGCACTGCAGTCGCTTGGCCGCAAAGCTTTGTCACTCGGTGGCCGATTGCTGAAGAGGATATAGTAGGCTCCTCCATTGTCTTGGGTCTCTTTCAGAGTGAGCGCCGCAAACTTCATGCCTTGAACCTGAGCCACGTTCAGTCACAAAAAAGCTCTCCCCACCAAGGCCGCAGCGTCTCAGCTTCTGGGACCAAGACCTTGCGACCGTAAACCCCCTTGCGGTTGCTCGCCCACACCTCCTCGATCGTAGTGTCCGCTTTAGATGGATACTTCTCAGGCCAAACGAAGCCATGAGGGATTTTCAGCCCCTCAGAGCCGACGCAGGACGGCAACGAAGGGCTGCTGACCAGGTACATACCTGATGAAGCACAACTGCTCGCAACAGTGCAAAGCAAAAAACAGTACACGGGCCTGAATAGTTGTCGATAACGTGCTTGCCCGCGTCAAGCAGCTTCCAGTAGACCCGCACCTATGCCACACAAGTTGCGGCTGATGCCCGCTCGAACTGGCTGCGAACCTTGCCGGCATACATAGGACCAAGGAAGCTCCCAACATCGCCGGTGTTGGTCCAACCATCCAGGGGAACTCCGGACCAGCGATCCACGCGCAGCCTAAGCTGAAAGGCCCTCTAAGACTCCACCCTTGTGGCTCCCAAAGTAACCCTTCCGAATCCTCAGGGCCTCGCAGGTACACCAAGGCCGGCTCCGCCAAGAAGAGCTCGTTGGAGTTGCCTGTGTTGACATCCTGCGTCCTCGATGTGGCAATAGGGCTAAGAAGCATGTGGTGAGTGAAAACTATTGAAAACTCATGGTGCTCGGCCGAGTTGCCCCCGCATAGGAAACTTGGTGCTGAGGTAGCTCGGGAGCTTGTCAAAGTAAACCTTGCCAAGCCCCGTGCTTCAAACTTACAAAGCAGAATGCAGCAATATCAAAGAAGTTGAAAGTCGTTTTGGGAGCGGGCCTTGCCAGCATGCCACGGCTTTCCCTGGATTGTCCTCAGAAACCAAAGCTGCATTTAGAAGGGGGCGGCGAACCGCTCAGCAACCCATACGCACCCCAAACCCTTCCTTCTGCTGCCAAGCAGCAGCCTGTCATGTAAGCTCTGCTGACGAAAAGAAAGCTCCTGTCCACGCCACTGAGAGCCGCGGCCGACCCAGCCCTGGGATCAAAGCACGGGTCAGGTTTTCTCACGCTTTTAGCTCCATTCCTGCCGGCCTCGCAACAGGCGAAGACCTGCGAAACAGGCAACAGAGGAAGAAAGGCCAGCAGGTCTCCAGAACCCGCCTCACGCAGGTCCAAGCGCTCATCACTGAGAGGCCAGGATGTGGCATCCAGGCGATGGGATTCTGTCAGCTTCTTGCAGGTGGGATGACGCATTGTGGCCTGGGCTGTCATGTGAATGATTAATGCTCCAGTTGCCTGTTTCAGCCGGGACACGCCAACCTGTGCGTAGTTCGGTGTCTTCATGTCTTCTTCGAGGATTGGACACCACGCGTCGGTCACAGACTGCAGGCCTGCAGAGACACGCTGGCTGCTAGCAAAAGCATTAGAGCATTTTTCAGCATTCGCGGGCTAGGACTGTGAAAAGTGCAGAGCGTGAAAAAAACACAGGTCCTCCAGCAGGGCGCTGACCCCTCTTCTGGCAAAGCTCTGAATACCTATACACATACAAACGCCGCGGAGATCCGTCCAATGCAGCAGTGCATGAAAAGCTGAGGGATCTGCGTGCACAAGCGCTTCCCATGCTCCTCACACTTGTCCTGCTCACTCGCCAAAAGAAGTCATGAGGAGGCAACAGCTCATGTTGTGTCGGTGCCTGGAGCTTCTGCCAGCTAATCGGCTGCTCGTTGACGTACCAGGCCACCCCCTTTTGGCAATAGCATGCTCAAGAAGCTGCATTTGAAAGTCTCCTGCCCAGCCTGAGCGCATGGGCGCGGGCCATCAAGCTGATGGCACGAGGTGCTACAGCAGTAGTCCTTTTTGTCCGCACCGCCTGGGACCCAGCTTTGCTTGGACTTGGGCTGGCTCTTGGCCACTCTGAGGTCATGGCAGCTTTGCCGTGCGCACATCACAGGAGAGTTGGCAGGACACTGAGCACGCTGACCATGGCCTCCCTTCATGCAGCTCCAGTCCTGCAAGGAAGTACCCTCCAAGACTCTGGGCATTTCCACTGGCTGGAAACGTGCCCTCCCCGCCTTTACGTACTTGCCATCTTCACACAGGACTTCGGACAGAGCACCAAAGTGGGGAGCAAGAAACGGGCAAGCCGCTGCCTCACACATGTTGCACTTCCTCATCCTGGAATCTGCTTCCATGTCATGCCTGTTCTGCCGGGTTGTCAACCACGTAGATGGCTCCGCTCTCAGAGTTGCGAACCTTGGTGTCGAGTCTGCAAACTGACAATGAAGGCTTGACATGCCTTGATCTTGACTTGATGATCCAAGATTCTGTGCCATATGGCTTTGCCCACAGGTTCGCACAGCCCCAGGAGTGCAGTGGGGCGCCAATCATGTAGGACGACTCCAGCCCTTTCTCATTCTTCCTCTGCCCTTGACCTGCAGTGCTTTCTGCTGCTTCTCATGCCCTGTCATTGCTCGAGGCAGACGTGCAGTAAGAGCGCCGCAAAGGCTTTTGCCACACTCACCGCACGTGCGAACAAAGTGCAAGATGTCCTGTGCTCAAGAAAAATCACCCACATGATTTCCAACTGTAGCTTACAAGCCTTTCTCAAACTCCCTGGCCGTGCCTTGTCGTAGCAGTGCGCCGACATGTACCCAGTATTCTTGCCACCTTTGTTGTCTTGGTCTGCATCACCTTGCTGTGTCAAGCATCGCAGGAAGACATGGAATCCGCTTCAAGGCTTCCAAGGCCACTGGGGCAAGGCACTCCGAGCCAGCATGCCAAAACAGCCACTCTTGCTCCAGACCACCTCCGGCGTGTAAGCTTGCTGCCCTAAACTCGAGAGGGAACGACAACTGCAAGACCACCTGCTTGCACTCCTTCTCCGATTCGCAAAGTTCCTCATCAAAGCGACAATTTGCCAGAGCAAGTAGAACGCAAGGCCCACTTCGCTGGCCGAGTAGCAAAGCAGGTCTTCCAGGCAAGCTTTGCGCCGTATTTATGAGCGCCTGATGCCACGCATTTTCTGGGCGTGGTCAGACACGATGATTTTGTGAAAAGACTCTGGACATGGATTACCATGCACAGTTTCACGTCTTGCACATGCAAAAAAGTTTGAACAGTCCGAGAGCGCAGCCCAAGGAGATCTGCACCTCTGCCCAAGACCGGCAAAGCCCATTGGAAACGGAATCTATGACGTCTGCTTGTTGCTGGGCGTGTGGCATGTTTGCCCAACCACTTCTTCCGCCACTTCGGAAAGACCGTGCACCTACGTGCCTCCAAGAACGCTCCCTCTGCTATCCCATCACCAGCAAGCCCAGCAGCAGAATCAAAACAAGCCTTCTTGATGTAGCACATCGCATCCTTCCACTGTTTGCCTGGCCAAAGTGGATCTGCTAGCTGCTAGCTTCCAGAAAACGTGATCCTTCAATGTCTCTCGCTTCAGGCACCTGGGCTGCCTTTTGCAAGGGGCTGGTCGATGAACAGGAAACAGTTCTTCCTGTTCCAGCCATTAGCATACCTTGGAGTTTGGGCAGACATGAAGCCTGAGATCCATGACTGGACCAGTTGGGAAGACACACCATGCTAGGAGTCTGAGCAAGCTGCCACTCAAAGCCGGTACAGCCAGCTTTCAGGTCGCCTGAACCGGAGGAAGGACTTAGGGTTCAAGGCACTCACGTGCACATCGACCTTGTTTGCCAAGGTTGGAGGCTAAGTAGTCCACAGTAGCAGTCGGTTTTACTTAGCCCTTGCTTGCTCTGACGAAGCATTCGAATCTGCCACACTTTGCGTGCTGTGTAAAATCAGAGGCTAACTAACAATCATCCAAGTGCGCTCACCATGTAAAGGCTCTCTCATGACAAAGGGATGGGAAGGCCAAGAGATGCGAACCCTCATACAAGGACCCGAAAACGGAACACGGTCTGAAGTGTGCTCACATCGGTGACAAGGAGCATGCTGCTTCACAGCCCGCAACATTCTTCGTCACATGGCCCTTGTCCTTTGCATCACGCATGTGTTTCCAGTGTTGCTGTTGCTGCAAGTTTTTTCAATCTGGCCTGTGGGGCATCTTTGCCATTCGTCAAGACGCAGAAGTTTTTGAAGCTCCTATAGTTGGCCTCCCAGGGTCCAGACATCATGAAAGCACTTCGACTTTGCTGCAGCCGGGCCTTCGCTGGGTGGATACCACCATCCCTTGAACAATGCGCATCCAAAACATGAAGTGTTTCATCCACACAGCGCAAAGCTTACAGCGATTCAGCACGGGCAATAATGCCATGCAGCATTGGTGGTAGCAATGGTATCTTGCAGCTGGGGTGCGCAATTGCCGCGTTGACGGCTCGAGCTTGCAGAATACCAAAACCTCAGCTGCAAGATCACCATCATGGCTAGTGTAAGATCATCAGCAGGCACTCTAGGCATTCTTAAGAATAGAATCAGTCCGAGAGACCAAACTTCGTGCCTCCTGCACAGAATAGCCTCGCACTGTCGCAGTGCTTCTTGTATGATCCGTAGCCAACCCTAGTTGGCTGACCATCAAAGTACCACTCCTCGGGTTGGAATTGGAAGTCCCACTGTTCCTAAAAAAGAAGTCACGGTACGCTGCTGCTGCCCAAGAGACGTCGCCCTTGAAGGTGATCTTCACAATGTCGCGTCCGCGTATTCCTGCACATGTGGAATGATGGCATGACTGCACGAGTCTAACACCAAGGATCGCTTCTGACAAGTGTGTTTGCTCATATCTAGCATCTAGCTTTGCAGAGTCGAACAGCCGCCTGCTTTTTTCATCTGCGGACACCAGTACTTTCCGAGCTTGCAAGGCACCTGCACCAGTCTCGGCCGTACTTTCACAGGTGAGGCGAAACAGGAAATGTATGTTTGACAGTGTGGCTCGCACCATGTCAGGATGCAGGCCACCATTCCTCAGTCAAAACCGAGACTTGCGCTCCGCACACAAACAACAAATCATCTCACTAGTCCATGTAAAGAGTGTTTGAATTTTTTGCAGAACCCATAAACAGGTATAAATTACTTGTGCTATGTCAGCATTATTAGAGTCCTTCAACTTCTTCTCCTCCTTCTTCTAAGTCTTTTTCATGTACTCTAGATACATCTTCATCATCTCTCTTTTTTAACATATGTTAATTTGCAACAGTTGAAATCTTGTACCGGCAACAGACACTTGCATGCACAAGTCTGCTTCCAAGCATCTCGATGGCTTCTTTCAGCGCCTTTGCCTGTAGGATCCCAAAACCTGCCAGCCCACACTGACTGGAGCAGCGCCCTTGCCAGCATTAGCGTGGCAGCAGCGTGGAATGCTGGCATGCTGAGGTCTGCGCCGAAGGTTAGGCGACCGGCGCAGAATACCTTGTTGCTGTCGCATTTGTTCTTGTAGGATCCGTAGCCGACTTGGGTGCGCTTGTCTTTGAAGTACCATTCCTGAGATCAACACGCCAGAACATACACTTACTGAGTACTCATGAATATTGGGTATTAATGGCACATTCTTCTCACTTGGCTAGTAGAATGGCCCTGCTTATGACTCATCCTTGCACTTAGCATCCTTTCCACCAAGCTGCCCCTCCTTTCGCAGTCAGCCTGCCTGCATCATTGCGAGGTATGCCTCAGTAATGATCGCAATGACAAAGACCACCAAGTCAACAAACGGTATTTGCACAAAACAGTCTAAAACTTTGTGAGCTGCGGTGAAGAATAACAGCTAGTGTCGTCACAATTGCAGCGCTATCTTCATTCTCCATGCATTCCCTAGCGTTTACAAAACCATGCTGCTTTGCAGCGAGCTTGTGCTGAGCCAGACCCGGCCTGCTTTCTGCAGCTGGAGACACCAGTATTTGCTCAAGGTGCAGACAACCTGGCAGACAGATCAATCAGTAAGACTCCAAGCAGTGCAGTGTCAGCCTCACCTTATCGGGATGTACTCCTCCGTTCTCGATAGCTTTCTTCACTTCGCGAGCTTGTTCAATGCCCAATCCTGAGAATAGCTCTAGTCGTCCATGTCCAAACAGGCGGGCAGCTCTGAGGTCTGGTCCATACTTTGTTCCACCAGCGCACTTGAACTCTTTTGGACACTTCTCCTTTTGGCAACTCCACACACCGCTGCAGCACGACATCCCACACGAACATCCCACAAAACACCAGCAACTCTGGTGTTCACAAGCATTTCTCCTTGTAGGAGCCGAAACCCACTTTTGTTCCCTTGCTTTTGAATTGCCATTCCTCGTGACGGAGCAAATGCCTTTTCCGCTAAACACGGGGACAACACGTAGCATGAACGCAGACACTTCCCTAGCTCGTATGGCCAAAGAGCACCATCTTTGGTGCGGATTGATCCGCGATCTTGCTTGGAGATGCCTTGCAGGAAATCCCTTGACATTGCCTCACTGTTGTCTACTCCACTGTAGGACCCCAGGCCTGCAGATTCCAGGATCTTGCACCAGTACTTCCCAAGCAGGCAGTCGGCCTATCGAGGTCCCCGCCCAGCCTGCCCCAAGTGCGCTGGTTGGGATGCATGGCCTTCTCCGGATGCACCCCATGATTCCTCAGTTCCGGCCAGACCAGAGACGTACTTGTTCAACATCTTCCTTGACAGTAGTCGCAGCCCAAGCTTCTCAATTGCTGCCTTGACAGCCTGGGCTTGCCGAATCCCAGCACCTTGTTGTTGCAAGCAGGATGTTTGGATGCACAGGACTGTTTTGATAAGGGCATGGCCATACTTGGTTTGCCCAGCACAGAAGTACAGCTTCTGATCGCAGGCTTTGTCCCATTCGCCCTTTCCAACCTTGGTCCCTTCTGCATTGTAGTACCATTCCTTAGTCCGGCATCCGCTCCCCAAACAAGCGCTTCGTTCATTCTCACCAGGAAGCCCGAGGGCCAAATACTGTTATGTCTATACTACCAGCACTGCTGCTAGTACTATTATTACCGTTGTTACTCTTTCTCTTACTGTTCTTACTATTCCATGCGTTCTTATCGTTAATACTGCGATTGGCACTGTTAACACCTACTCACAAACGCTTCCATGCAGCGTTGCCCTTGGAGCTGATCTTGGCTTGATCCGCAATGGCCACACCTGGATATAAGCTTGTCAATGGTCTGCTGTAAATCTCAGCTATGGGCGGCCAGCCTGCCTGCTTTCTTGAATTCGTCACACCAGTACTTCCCCAACAAACATTTTGGAGTCTCCTCAAGATAATCGAAATATATCGAATTCTTGCAGAAAACTAGCTGAATGGAACTTGCTCCTGGCTGGAGACCCGCTTGGCAGGGCTGCGCCGCCGGGCAGCCACCGGTGGCCTCGGCGACCCCCAAATTGAAAAGTAAACACAGAGCACTTATTACCCGGTGCAGCTCGAGGGCTTCGGGCTATGAAACGGAGAGTCCGGTTCGGCCTGGACATCACCATTTTCAGCAATCCCTCCTGAGGATGACTGCGGGGGTGGCCTCCGCCTGCGTGCGACCTTCCACACGCTCACGCTCAGCCCAACCTTCAGACAGCTGACAAGATGCTAACAGTAGCCAATGATAAGAATCTCGCAGTCTAGCAACGACCCCACCATTTCGTCTCATCACCAATGTCTCCAACGTCCTCAGCGACTGTTGGGAGATAAACAGCAAAGAAAGTTGGGTACAATAACTGTACTGGTTGCAGCTGGAGCCAGGCCTCCTCCTCTGTTTCAGATCCCGACACATCCTTGGACAGCACAGCCCAGGCCGCACATGGACTCACATGGCTGCCACTGCAAGCAAACAAAGCTCTACTGTACTCTACATGTACAAGCTGATTCTTTCCACCTGGTGATCGCGCAAATGCATCTTCCTGAAACTGATTTGAACAACGAATTTTGCACAAGCGGCGTCATCGACAGACTGGAGGGCGTCAAGAATAGCAAAGTCTTCATCCACAAGGCCTCCCAGACTTCTGACATGCACACCGACATGTCTTCCTCATCTCAACTTTTGACATGCTTGGGAATTCCTGATCTGGGCTTGGTGGGCCTCCTTCCTCAGAACTGGCCACTGCGTGTTGGACCTGGCAAGCATCTCATCTTCCAACATCAAACACTTCAATGTTGAGAAAAAAGCTGGCACTAAACCTCGTCGTCACTATCATCATGACGATTGCCATCCTCATAGTCATCACCATTGAAGGCATCCGGGCTCTCTTGGCTATCTTCGGGAAGGTAACAATCCTGGCGCTCAGCAACTGCCTATCATTCTGCATTCAGAGCTAGCTCACATGGAAAGCAAGCTTTGGCATCACAAGGCACCTCCGCTGTGGAGTTCACGGGCTCTTTTTCATCTGTCTGATCGCTCTGGTCGAGATCGAGAATCTCAGCCTTGCTGCATATTGCTGCATGTTGCATATTGCAAACGAAGCGAACCTGTGGCATGCGGCATGCATGTGAACTTGATATCTTGCTTTATCCCTGGGACCTCTGTGTAATTGACAGGGTCAGGATTTGTGTCTGACTCGTCCGCCGAAGTCAACATGTCGCCCTGCAAGGTGGCAAGGCCAAAACTGACGTCAACCTGCCTCTGGCGTATGGCCTCCGCGTGCACATCCGTAGCGTTCTCCTGCCTAGGCATACACAAAAGCAATGCCAGAAAATACAATTCTGAGCTGTGCCAGTCATTCACACACCAGCGGTGCGCCGTTCACAGTCTACTAATTGCCAAGTGTATGCTAAGTGTGCCAAACATATGGCAGCTGCTTGGCTTGCCCAGCGCAGCTCATGCTCGCCAAGGGTGACACAGCTCCAGCTCGCTAAGATCATCAAGGGTGACTGGTGCCACAGACAACACATGCTCGCCAAGGGCGGCTCGCCCTAGCCGAGGGCGGCACACGCCGATTGCATGCTTAACAAAAAAGGGGGCAAATGACGCATGCTTGTCAAAAGACAGCTTACATGCGTCTTTCAACTGTGAACTGCAGCCCCTCTGTATGACTTGAAGAAACTCAGGCTGGGACCCTTGCTTGACCGTCTGTTCAATGATGCTCATGTCGGCATCAACCTCGTGAGCGGCATTCAACTTGTTAGATACGGAGCTTCCAACCTCGATTCTACTTCGCGAGGCCTGGGAAGAGCCATCTCCCAAACTTGATCTATCCGTATCGTTGGTGAGCAGATTGGCATACAAGGCGCCTGGCATCAAGAAATTGCTACCTTGCAAGCCAGTTCACTCTGTAGTTCTCGCCTGGAACTGCAAGGGCATGTGCACCATCGCTTTGCACCTTGCTGATTGCATATCAAGTGGCTGTTGTCGCCTAATTGCGGAAGTCTGCAAAAGGAGTTCTAAAGCAAAGCACGACGTGGTTCTCCCCAGCAGGATCGACGAAGACATGGCTGACGAAGCCTGTCTCCAACAAGTCATCTCCTCTTGCAAAATGTCTAAAACCCCATAGTAATGGGGGCGCAGCTGGTATCCACAGCTGCAGCGCGCGCGTTTTCGCGACGAACAAACTGCGGCCGGGGATGGTCCTGCGGCAACGGAGCGATTCCAGGAGTGTTTTTGACTTGCACCCGTCGTTACACAACTTGCGTTCAACGATGGGTCCTTTCTATTCCAGGCATTGGCTCTTGGACAGATGGAGAAAATAACCAGCCTGTTGTGTCTGCTTGCAGCAACCATTCAGCACACGACCAAAAAAAATTATGCACAGCCAAGGAGCAATCTCAGTATCATGCCATTAACGCAGATTGTGTGTGACGCAGAGGCTCCCCAGTCAGATATGAAGCCTTTGCTATACGGAAGAATAACTTTGGCTCATGAACCACATCACTCAAAACAAAGCATGCGAGAAATGTCTTCAGTCTGACCGAGAAACTGTTCTAAATTGAAACGCAAACCTTGGCAACATGAGTTGTGAGGCTGGCTGTGACACCTTGGGCCCGCTTGCTTCCATGTGACACTTTTCCTGAGGTGCCGGCAACACCCTGTTGTGACAAAGCAGCTCCTTCAACAGAAGATGGGCTCAGAGAATTAAGATCCGCTGCATCAAGCACTTGCAGTGGCATCACTGCATGCTGTCCTCAAATCAAAGAAAGCAGCAGCCACAGCACTGTGTGCGGCCATGGCTGCAAGATCTTGAGCCGCACTGCCTCTGCAACGTCCGCACTTCTCAAACGGTACCTCTTGTCAGAATATGCAAGAAAAATGATGCAACGCGCTTTATTGCTGTTTAGATCGCTCGGGTCCTCTGCTCTCTCTTGAGGTGACAGCTACAAAGACGTACACAGCCCTTCGAATTCTCGAAGGGGAGCAGACCACAACTCCCGAGATTGCCCTAGGATCAAGGTCTCCTCCTTGAAATACCACGTGAAGGGTCTGCCCGCACTGCCGTCTTGCAGCAAGCGCCACGAAAATCTTAGAAAATAATTGATAACGAACAGATTGCTACAAGATTCTGGCACCCAGCTGTGTGAGGCTCTGCTCTGGCTCCTGAAGGGGAAAGGCGAATGAAATGGCACGCGGTTCCACGCTGTTCCAGCCTGTCATGTACGGATTGTACAAGCCATGCCCAGCAGTGCACGCTCTGCCAGCTCTGCCCCAGCATCGGTTGGCCTCTAAGCTCGCTGCTTGGCTGCTGCCTGCCAGGCTCCACCGGATCAAAAAATATAAACCTTCAGACCTCGGTCAAAACGTTGCAAGAAGATGCTTGCAGCCTACCTTGGCCGCGATTCTCCTCTCGTTGGCATCAAGGATTGCCTGCTGATAGCAGGGATGACAGGTGGTCTGCAACGCTTTGCCTCGGGCATGGAACCTTTCGCATGACGATGCGCTTGGGAGTCACTTCAAGCTTTTCATCGTCCAGAATGTAGCTTAAGGCCTGACGTTCCAGCACTGAAGCAAGCAAATGAAGCCAACAGCAAAGCTTCACTCCTCTTCCAGCCGTTTCTCGAGAGGGACAAATCCAGCAGCCGATTGGTATCCATCGTGTTTCCTCCCAGAATCAGGTACCACCGAGGCCCAAGCTCATACTTCATCATAGATGCAGCATCCCTCACTGCTGCTGTAGAAACTTACAAGTCGGATTGCAGACATTGAGCCATTGTCCTACAAATGTTGGTGTCAATATCGCCCATGCCGTTGTTCTCTCCAAAGATCATGCCTCATTGGTACACACGTCACACGGCACACGGGCCACGCAGACCACACTTACCATCTCCCCATGGCCTGGATAGACCTCCATGCCTTCGTTGATGAACAGTTTTCCCATTCGTGCGGCCTGCACGGAGCCGCTGTGAGGTGGCACAGCATCACTTCTGGTTCATGTCTGGCCTTCCCGAGATCCACAGACGTAGAAATGCCGGGGGTGTTGGCGATGAGGACCCCATTCCTGCTGCAACACAAAGCCGACAGCAAAAAAAAAGCTTGCCAAGATCACACAATTGCGTTCTCGCAAGTAAACGCGGCTCCTGTCACGGGGCGGAGGCGGCCCTTGAGGCCTCATCTCCTCAAGAAGCACCCAGGGTTCCAGGATGTGCCCTGCTTTTCTGCTTGCAATGGAGAACCGCAATCCTTGAAGTCAGACACGACAGTGCCTGTCCCCCCAGTGACTTCCCTGAGCCAACCTTGAGAGGGAAACATCACCAGCATAGATTATAGGGCATGACATCTATGCAACAAAGTAACTACGGAGGCCAAGCATGGAGGATGTCGCAGCCTCTCAGTATGGAAACCATATGACAATTACCAAATCCAGAAGCGTCTCAATAGGGGGCCTCCAACTTTATTGTCTGTCTCTCTCCGGTGGTGTTCATGTCCAACACCTTTGCGCCCCTCCCAGACATGCCTCGGCAAGTGGATGCCGGGCACAAACGAGCTTTTGGCAAACATGTACATCGCTAAATGTCGCGTGAAACCCTGCTATCCCTGCTTTCAAGCTGCGCTCCATCACCAGGCTTCCATGTGCCATGTCCACCTGAGATCGACACTCTGTACTGCCGTTTCGGACCAATGCCACACCGAGCCTCGATCTGTACGTCCTCCCAGGGCTCCATGGTCATGCCATCTTCACCTCGCCAAACGAATCAACAAGAATAGCAAGACTCAGGAGAGGCCCCTTTTGTGCGTTCCGGCAAGATGCCCTGCTGCTTCACGACAGTCGGTGGGGAGAGCGACATCTCGTAGCCTTCGCGCCGCATTTCCTCAATCAGGATGCCAAGCTGCATCTCCCCACGACCCCGAATCTCGAAGTAGTCGCGATTCGCAGACTGCTTAATCTCCTGAGGTGATGAGTTTCAGATACACTCTCCAAGCGTTGATGCGTTTGTCTTGTTTGCCAATCAAGAATCAATGGCGGGATTGGTAAGGGCCTCCTTTTCCAAGCGTTCACCAACTGCATTCATAGTGATGTACTTACCATCCTTGCCAGCCAATGGAGAATCGTTCACAGCTGCTCGAACGGAGATAACCGGAGGATCGATGGGCTGGCACTCCACGGGAGGGACTTTGGAATGGCTCACAAGTGTTTGAGTCCATCGAGGAGTGAAGCCTGTGACGCTGACAGAGACAATGTCACCAGCTTTAGCCATCTTCACAGGCTCTCGGCTCACGCCGTGAACCACCGTTATCTCCTTAGCTGATCCAGCTTGTACATGTCAGAGGACCAACCATCCGTAATTAAGCCAAGCAGCTCTAACCTTGCCAGAACCGACGACCTCTCCATCCAAGGATTTGCCTCAAAAGCGGACCGAAGCAAGATACTCCTGGTACAAGGCAGCTGGTTGGCGAATCAAGCAACCAGGCTCTTTGCTCAAGCTAAGATGCAACTGATCTTGTCACCCTTGTGAATCTGACCACTGTGCACCTTGCCAGTAACTGTGGGTCCAAGGGCTGGAAGCCTCAGAGGCGCAATGAGCAAATTGTACCTGGCTCCCTGGATGAACCAAAGCAAGGCTAATGAAGGCAGGTAGCCTGTCAAGCTGTGAGACTAGCATAGAAAATCCCTTGCACTTCTCATCAAGCTCCACGATTGCAGGGTCCTGGCGTCCAGCACCACCCCTCGATCAGTCTTTTGTGATGTGCTGGGTCTTAGTTTGCTCTCCTTACCTGCAAGGAAGTAAGTCCACTATTACCGCACAAACTGCAGGTCTCCTGGGTGAAAGGCTTGGGCGGCGGCACAATGTCGCGAATCGTTTCATAGAGGACCATCATGTCGGATGGGCGGTTCTCTGACTGCGCTTCTTCCAGGGACGTGGCGCAGAAACCAGCTTTGCCAGATGCGTAGAGTGTGGGATATTCCAGCCTCGTACAACGTTGAAAGTTCGAACCATTGCCCTGCTAGTCTTGCTTGCAGTTAGGTCTTACATCTTAAGTCTCAAATGATCTTTTGCATAATTATACCATGCCTAGCTGCTGTTCGTCTGTCGAAGCCATGTTGGCAAAGACATCAAAAATATCATTCTCGACCTCACCCTTTTCTCGTGTCATGGGGCGATCTACCTTGTTGATGACAACCAATGGCTTCATTTCCGGGTGCTTGAGCGCCTTCTGGAGCACAAACTTGGTCTGCGTCTTTGGACCCTCTACAATGTCCACCAGAAGGACAACTCCGTCCACCATGGAGAGAACTCGTTCCACCTCCCCGCCAAAGTCAGCGTGTCCGGGGGTATCCACGATGTTAAAGACGTAACCATTCCTGCAGACTCAACATGCCACAAAACGGAACTATGTAAACCGCCTAAACTAACATCAACTTGAAATGAAATGCAGCGGATGCACCATGAGATCCGTGTAGCCTTTGACAGGATGGTAATACCTCTTTCCTGTTCCAGATCTTTGCTATCCATCATTCTCTCCGTGACCTTCAACCCCATTCCGCTCTGCTTCATCAGCTGGTCCACTAGAGTCGTCTTTCCTCCAGAATTCAACGACTGCGGAACATGGACAATTTATTCTCTGTTAGTCACAAGAGTAAAGGGCATTTCCCACATCAACACACATCAGCCCCCAAGCTACCCAAAATCATCCATTGTAAGGTCATGCTGCTCTGGAAATTATACCGCACAAATCCACGATGCTGGGAATTTTCGCCGTTTGGACATCTAGGAATGTAGGAATGGTGTCCCCAGAACGAAACAGCAGGCATGTCAGAAGTCTTGAAGCCACAAAACAAACAGTCGTCCCTGCTGCACCATCTACTTCAAAGAGTGTCCGTGATCAACGTGTGCAATGATGGCAACATTGCGTAGTCTGTCCAAAGGCACATCCTGCAAGGGCAACGTCGAACTGCAAGTCGAAAGCGTGCAACAATGCAGCATACAAGATTTTGCAAACTATCCTCTGGCAGACTTGCTGCTGCCCGCACAGCACAAGCTGGTTTCAAGGGCAAAATCGGCCTGCAGGGAGGATGCCAAGCACAGCCAATTACATCGTTGGCCCATTTTTTCACTGAACTGCAAACCTGTGCTGCCATTACCCTGTGCCTGTACAAAGATGGCCAAATGCATCGTCCAGCAGTTGCTGCAGATACCCGATGCAAAGGCCAGCGCCGCATCGAGCGAAAGCCAGCTACTCTCTACTGACCTGGGCAAGATTCTTCAATTCTCAACAATGTGGATTGTTTTGGTCACAATTTGGGTAACTGGCACATATACTTTGATTCCACTGGTTGTTGCTCCTTGCGTCCAGACTATGACTCTATGTGGGCTCCGAGCTAAAAACATGAAGGACAAGCACGCTGCGCATCAACAATGGTGTCCATGCAAATTCCAAGCATTGGCCCGCAAGAATCTTTATGGAGCGAAGCGTCCACAGCGCAGGCTATGTGCTCTTCAATCCCCATTATATCCTGCTATGTTCCCACGTATGTACGCCTTCCAATGATGGTCGTTACATTGCCAATTGATGCGTTTAACTTGAAATGCAAATCCTCGACTATTCGAATCCCGCATCGAGCCCCAACACTTTCCAATTGATTTTTGTATTTCACCAAATCACTCAAACATATTCCGATCCAATAACTTGCAATTTTTTCTCCTCAAATATGATTCAATCAAATCATTAACATATTCAGCGGACCACATTTTTTCTCAACGGGGAGTTCACGCAGGCAGTGCCCTGTCCTCACCTCCCTTCTTCCCTCAAGACTGGGAGCTGCCACAAGCGACGCTCCAAAGCACGTTTATTGGCAGGAAGCCAGGATGCATCCAACATCCGCGAGGGACAGTCCGCTGGATTAGTAACCCTTGGAACGCGGGCATACCACGAGAGTACCCCGCTCGCCTCCACTAAGACGGCAGCCTCATGCGCCACTGCATTGAGCACCCAGTCACTTGATCTGCCTCTGAGAATCGCCCCCCTGGCTCCTTCATTGTCAACAAACGCACGAAGGTGTTTCCGTAAGAAGAACCCCTTCCATAGCCTCAAGCTTGCCAACACGGCAAGAGCCTCAAGCTCTGTGATAATCTGCTCTCTGTCGTCAGCATTCAACAGTTCGCACTCTTTGAACAAGACACCACCGCCAAGCCCACCTTTGCGTCCTTCGTAATGGGCATCCGTGAATAGGTAGACGATCTCTCTGGATCTCATGTCCACGCACCTGGGTTTGCCCGAAGAGAAAACGGTCTGGAAGGCAGCGAAACAAGTCTTGTGTAAGCGAATTGAAAATGCCGTGGAAGCCCTTCCGAAGAGCTGGCCCTCAGCAAAAGTCAAACACCCTTTTAGTTTGGCAGTATCATGTTTGCTAGGCATATTATCCTGCAAAACGGTCTCAATGCGTTCCAAGATCTCGGCTCTTCGCGTTTTGGTGTTAGAAACAAAGACAAGACCCTTATCGGATTGCCTAAGATCAAACTCCACCCCTAAAGACGCCACGTGGTCACTCCTGGAGGGCACACGCGAATTTTTTTAAAGGACGGGCGGGGAAGGGGTGTTTATCATTATGAGGGCACACGCGAATTTTTTTAAAGGACGGGGGGGAAGGGGTGTTTATCATTATGTGGAAAGTCATATACCTAC